TATTCATGAGACCATGAAGTACCACTCCAACTTACAAAATGAAAGTTACGCGTTCCAAAAATATCACAACACTCGTGTAAAAAGAGTTTTGATGGAGAATAAGGTGTATTTATGTTTTATCCGCAATGATATAATTATAATATTATATAAAATTATAAATTAATAATTATAATATATTATTAAAAATAAATTATTAAATAAAAAATTAACTATATAATAATATTTTATATTATATAATTATAATCATATATAATATCATAATTATATTATTTTTGTTCCTAATAAATTTATTAAAAACTTTCTAAAAGAAACAAAAATAGTTTTAAAAACAATCTCCCCACGAAAGAGGGCACTCTAGTAGAAACTGGAAAGAGCTCCTTTGAATGCTTCACCGTGCATGATCAAACGTCTAGAAGCAACCAAAAATATCTACCAGAAAGTACAAATGTCACAATTCCAGTTGCCACCTCACTCCCTGCATGCCTGCCACGTCACGAAAATGAGATTTACGTCTCCACGTGGCAATCCAATTCCCCAAAAAACTTCATAACCATCATTCTCTCCTAAAATCAAAATTATGCATAAAATTAGGCTATATAGGAAGATTTTCTCTTTTTCGAAAAAAAAAACTGAAGATATTTATGATAATAAATTCAAGAAAATTACTAAATCCAATTGAAATATGGATGTTTGTTTTGTTATTTTATAAATATATATTAATTGCTAATTTTAATTAAAATAAATTAAATATTTTTAAATTATAAATAATATTATAATTCATTGAATATCAATTGTATCTACATAATTAATCTCTCAAGTACCCTCTGAATTTCATTGATTTTTTAATAAACACTTACATGGAGTTAATTAAAACTGAGAAATTAAATCACAATTAATTAACATAAACAGAGTAATTAATTAACAATACTTAATTAAAATTAAAAATCGAGAGCTTGAATTTGAAACAATCTGATAAAGACCAGATCGGTACGGCGGGTGCATGAGGATATTTACACACGCCACCGTCGCCGTCGCCGCCGCCGCTGTCTACATCAGGAGCTCATTGACCCAGCCGAGATCGGGCCCATTGTAGTTGAGCTTCGCATGATCACCGGCGAACCGTGCGCTGAAAGAATCTCCGGGATGATTAGAAGGGCTCGGAACAGGGGACTGAAGGAATTTCTGTTGATCGTCGCCATTGAAGCAGACATCAAGATAAGGAATGTTTGAATTCATGGTCGTTTTCGTGGTGGTGTTACCCACTGGAGAAGAGATTTCACTGAAATTCATGGCTTCGATGGAAGCCAACAGCTCATTGAGAACGTCCTTATAGGTCACCGTCGCCATATCGGAGCCGAATTTTCTCTGACGATCAGCATAACGGGAGAGTGGGGAATGCCCAGAAAGGGAAGGCTGCTTCACCGGAGATAAAGGCGGCGATAGAGGCGGTGACCGGGACAGATGAGATAGACCCAACAGAGTACTTGTGGGAGAAGAGGCAACAGACTGGCAGAACAAGCAGCAATGATTCTTGTTCAAAGGCGAACTGCAAGAACTGGCTCCGTTCTTGTACTTCGGCGACGGTGCCTCCGGTGGGATTCGGAGTTCACGAGGAGAGTGAGCGAAGAAACAAATCTTCCGCTTGCAATTTTTCCCATCCTTACACGCCTCTGTTCTGTACCGCATTGGGTGAAGCCAACACTCGAACACCCCGTGTGCAAACTCACAGTCGTCCCCGCGAGGACACCCACCGCCACGGCGGAAATCCGAGCACACCGTGGAAGAGTATCGGAACCGCCGCGGGTCACGGCGGCTAGCCTTCTCCCCCGGATGGGCAAATGGGCAGTCAGTCCAGTCGTGACTCCGGCTCCTGGTACATCTCCGGACCTTAAACTCGTACATCCGGAAATGATCAGTCCCGTAAGGATCAGAGTCAGACCCATTTTCCTCATCATCACTGCCATTGTTGGAAGGGAGGAACTTGTGGAGATTGTTCTCGTAGGGGATGGTGGGTTCATGGCGGTGGAGGAATCCGAAGGAGCCCGAGGAGGAGGAGAAAAGAAGCTTCCTTGGAGGGATTTCCAGGAATTCCTTGAAGGGCTTTTTGTTGGGTAGATGTGAAGGAAAGAACTTGTGTTGATCGGCACAAATGGTGCTCATTTTGCTGCTGTTTGGTATGAAGGAAAGTGCAGGAGGAAAGCAGTGCTGAGCGAAAGGGGAACATAAGGAGGGATATATAGGGGGAGGAAAGTGAGAGAAAGTGAAGGAAAGTAAATGGAAAGGAATGCGTGGCAGAATAGTATTAGGGATGGGCATGCAAAAAGGCATAGGTGGCAGCGTCACAATGCAAGCGGCTTGGCTATGTAATGTGCTTGGTTGTTTGTATTAGGGGGAAATTATGTGACGAGGCGTTTTGGGTTGGGGGTTTTGATGGGGTAACATGGGATGTGATGGTTCTAGATATTACGGCAGCTAGTGGGGCCCTGTTATAACTAATAGAATATTGCACAAATGCCCTCCTAAACATTCTCTAATTTTGCTTTCCCCCCAAAAAAATGTCTTTAGTTACCCTCTTCAAACGCCATACATATATATGTTTGGCCAATAAAGAAAACCCAAAATGGCCAAGTGTGCAAATTATACTCAAGATTGTCACGTTAAAATAAATTATCATTTAAAAAAATATTGATACAATTTGTTAAATCAAATTTTTGTTTTAAAAAAATTGATTTAAATTTAATAATTACTGTTAAATTTCGTTAAATTATTACTTTTGAAATCTAACGAAATGTTAATAGAAATTGTTAAATTTAAGCCAATTTTCTTGAAGTTGAAAATTTGGGATGGTAAATTGCATCAATATTTTTTTTTGAGTAGTGATTCGCTTAATGCAATAATTTTGTGAAGGAATCTACACATCTTACCAACCCAAAATATGTAAATCTTCATTGTTTTCTATCTTCACAATAATTCCATATGTATAATATCTAGGACTTGAATGTTTTCCTTTTGTTATATCTAAATAGCCTATTACAATAAATATAATGTTGTTCTCTTTCCTTTCTCAATCTCTTCACATTCATCTTAAGATGTCCATTAAAGGATAGCAAACCTAATTAGTAAAAGAATTTGCTTACGATTTTATTAACTAAGATTAAATTTTTAAAAGAGGCCATATGTTATTATTAGTGGATCTCATACCTTTGATATTGATATGGATATGGATATGGATGATCTTATCTTTAATCATATTAAAGACACAAATATGGTCTAATACACAAATTAAGTGAAGATAAAAATTTCTTTTATGCTTGAGTGGGGGAGGAGAACCTATGACTTTCTAAGATTTCGAGATGTCCTCAATTGCTAGATCAATAGCACATTCCTTGTTCAGTTTACCACTTGATTGAAAAAAAAAAAACAAAAAGATTTGTAGAATATATTTTCTATGTTTTAAATGGCCTACACTGGATAGAAGAGAGATATTATTGATTTATTATTATTTTTTTGACATTTACGATTATGATGTCCCTAAATTAATTTTTACGCAGTTCAAAACTAATCCCTCCCCAGACAATTTTAAGGGTGCACCTCCCATGTTAGCTTAATGTATTCAAAAAAATTAATTTCTTTAAGTATTAACTCCAAAACTTGAATTATAAATTTAATTTATAAAATAATACTTGCTTACTAGTAAATTTAACTATTGATATTGTTGATCTTAATTGTCTTTTGAAGATATTGAAATGCCTTGGACAAGTGATGCAACTGTCTAAAATAAAAAGCTGGTGTCATTAATTTTTCATGGGAATGGGATCACGGCATTCTCATGTACAATTTGGTGAGAAAATTTTAAAGATTTCCAAGCTCATTATTTTCTCTTTGGATTTGGATTGAGTTCTGCTTATCCTGTTGGGCCACCTTCCTGTCTCTTGGTCAAATCACTTTGGGCTTGTATAATAAACAAGGGTATCTTGAGCCGTTAATTTTGGTCTATGGGCCACCAAGTAAACCCAAAAGACTCAAATACAGGGCCTATTTGGCCCAACGTTGGTGGTAGCCCTTTTGATCTATTATTCCTCCTGAGTAATCCTTGATTCTGAGAAAAAGAAGGGAAGAATTTCAAGCAATAAGCAACCATTTTCACCATCTGTCCTGGCAAGGGCCAAAAAATTCTACAGCTAGAAATGAGAACGAATTTATGCAGGGCATCATACACACACGTTTAGCACTATAATTAAGGGCAAATATGAAACTTGGCTAACACAGAGAGTATTAATTGAACTTCACGACTATGCAAGATATATCATCCTTGCTTTTCCTCGAAATTGCCTCTTCTATCAAGCGTTTTGCTGCTGCTTGAGCATCCTTTAAATGTTTGATTGTGTCCACCGCTTCTTGGTTTGACATCACCTGGCCAGATATTGGAAAAAGATCAGAAAACTTCAATTTCAATCACGTTCTAACATGCGTATGCCAACCAGTGGTTTGAAATAAAGGACCAACTACAGCTTGAAGTTGGGCAGAGCTATTCTATTTCCCTTGATTGGAAAGCAAGGATAAACTCTTTCCTTAATGAAAAGAGAAACAGAAAAACAGGAAAGATAAAACCAGCAATGAAAAGCAAATGACCTTCCATATCCCATCACTTGCAAGAATGAGGAACTCTACATCATCGTTAATCATCTCTATCTTGACATCTGGTTCTGAACTAAGGTGTAACTTCAAACTCCTATCACCAAATGCCCGGGCTACAGCTAACTGCCCATCGACACGGGGGACATCCCCTGCAAGCATCAGACGATGTTCATAAATATCTATCTGTACTTCTACTAGACAGATACAATAAAAATGTACTTTTACTTTGCAGGCATTTTCAGAAGCCTGAAACTTTCAGAAGCAAATTGTAATCTTCATATCATCTTAACATATTTACTAACTATCACGCATGGAAATTTTCTCCTTATCAAATTGAGAAGTTCCTTTGGTACATAAAAGTGAAACTAGTGGATTATACTTCTAGCTACCTGGAAGGTTTGATACAAATCCACCACGTCTCTCAATCATCCGCTTTTCCTTGCTTGGTTCATGATCAACAGATAGTTGTGTGGCCACACCATTCCTGCATATTACAGCTCGAGAATCTCCTACATTTGCTACTACCAGTTTCTGACCATTAATCAGTATTGCAGTTACCGCGGTTGAGCCTCCTCTGCCCAGATGAACTGTTTGATCCAATATTTCAGCATCTGTTGAGTGATAAGCTCTTTTTATTGCATCTTCTGTTTCAGTCATAAAGTCTCCCTGCTTAACACAGGAAAATATGCTTCATAAATGAGATCTAGTAAAAGGTGAAATGCCTAAGACAATATGCCAGAATAAATAGCTAAATTAAAGGGCTGCAGGAGAACCAAATGAATGAATCAAAAATTAAAATTAAATGTCCTTGACATGGATACCTCTTTCAAGATATTACTAAACAGATGAGTTTGCAGGTATTTTGCAACATCATGACCCAAATGACCATCAAATATTGCGAATAAACCCAACTCATTATCATTTAATTGTTTGAATTCTGAAACAACATAATCTTCCATGGGATGATTTGATTTTCCCTTCACCCAATGAAAACCATGTGTTATATGCTTTGACATTTTGCCTTTCCCTTTCCCTGTATCAGCTGTTGATGAACCAAAAGCCTTCACCTAGAAGGAGCAAAGCCAATCACCAAAATGAAATTAGTAATTTTTATGCATACAATTCTCAGAAAACTGAACTGCTGGAGAAGAAATCTATTCAAAGTTAAATGTTAAAGATTAGACCCCTTCTTAAGCTAAAGCAAGATTATAATAAACGTTCAATTGTACACTCTCAGATGAAGAACACGATACAAACAACTAATTTTTGTGAGTAAATTACAAGAAAAGACCTTCATTGACCGAATTTCAATAAACTTATTCTAGGAATTTCAAATCAGGATTCTCATTGATAAAAGGAAAATATTCAATTCTTCTTTTCACCAACAAAATAGAAATGAAACATTAAATTGAAATGAGAAATTAAAAAACAGTAAGATCACTTTTTAACAGTTAGAATAAGCCACAATCCAAAAACAGAAGGGCTAGAAAATAAAGCCTCTGTGGATCAACACAAAGCATAAAGTAGTTAGGGAAAAAAGTGTGAAAAGTTTTAGATGCCATTCAAGTAATTGAAAGACAGGTAACTAAAGATAAATGTTTTCTCAATCAGAGAAGATGGCAGTTCACATTTTTAAGCCAACCAAGCGCTGCTAGTTTGTTCTTCACTTCTTAAAATAGGAAGATTTGAAATCCTGGCCTTCTGCCCTTGGCAAAAAGATCACATATGAAAGGCTTATTTAGAGTATCCAACTATAGAATTTGTTTTTCAAGAACTGATTTTCTTCAAAATAGAAAGATCAAGAGCAAAAAAACATAAGATATTCAATCATCTAACCAGTCTGTTCAATGCCCCACTCACCATTTACGGATCAACTAATCTCTCACTATTTTAAATACAAATCTTGCTTTAGAGGTTGCTGAAGAAGAAACCACCACAGTTTTGGTAGCTAGGAAAAATACAAACTACACCCTAACTTGGAGGATTCTATCCACTTGTCTGCCAATTTGTGGTCAGGCAAACAATAACTGCACCTAAATTACATTGTCATAAGCACGCTGCTGCTTCAACTACTTCCTGCGGTACCAAGAACACCTAGAAATTTATCCCCTTCCATGTTAGGAATCAGTTTCTAAATTCTTAACTCCCCATGCAATTTTCAGGCAGCAGGATCATTTTCAGTTGTAAAATGGCCTGAATATTTCTGGTTTTGAATCTGCTCTAGAATTTTTTTCAAGAAATGTATAGTTTCATCATGGAAACAACTATTTCAAATGGAATGACTAAGACCCAGTTCAACAATCACAAGAATCATCTAAAAAGGCTGCAGGCTACTGCTTTTCATGTGGGGTATCAACAGAAAATCAAACAAAACAAAGCAACAAAATAAAGGCACCATGAAGCAAATAAAGCCATCTGATCAACATTAGAAAAATAAAATCCATAACAACTTTCTTTCTCTGACCTTCATTTTGTGGAGAATTTCTCTTCCAGACATGGCGTTTTGACAGAGAATTAAGAAATGAGAAAATGGGAAGTTAATTTAACGAAGTAAAGAACCAGGCAAGAAAGGAGGACGAAGAAGAAAAGGAGGAGCCAAAAAGGAAGACGGAGACCCGGGATGGACTTTAGCATTCCGAGCTCGTGCAACACGGCGTTGCCAACGACTTTTCCTACTGTCACCATCCATTGTCCTTTATTTTCACAGAAAATCCGATATTTTTTAAATGTATTTTTGGCAGACTTATTTGAAAGTAGATCTTTTCTTTAATGAAAATGTGCGTTAGCAGGGGAATGGTAAAATATTAATTACTCTTTTTTTAAATATTATTATTTTTTATTTTTTTAAATTAATAATACATAAATTTATTTAAATTATCTAAAAAAATTTTAAAAATAAAATTATATTTTTTTAATAATAAAATAATTAATCAAAATAAATAAATAATGATAAAATAAAATTAAAAAATATTTATTTATTTAAAAAAATAAGAAATAATAATTAATTTAAAATAAATTTAAAATAAAAAAATAACAATTATTTTAAAATAAAAAAGATATTAGATAATAGAGAATCTCTAAAAATAGAAAGAGGCTTCTCTGCCTAAGAAATGTTACGTGGTCATTTAATAATTGTTAGTAGTGGTGTTTGTAGTATGGTTTGGTTTGAATTTTATTATTTTTTAAATTAATTCAATTTAATTGGTTAATAAAATTTTTAAATCAATTCAATTCATTATTATGTGATAATCAAACCAATTCAATTTAAATCGAATTAGTGTGGTTTGGTCGGATTGATCGATTTTTAACATTATTTAATATATAAGATAATGTAAAAATATTTTAACATCAAATAAAAAGTATAACTATAAAATACATTAACATCCAAATCAGTAAAAACATAATAATAGGTAAAACTTATAAGTAAATTCTTATACTCCTTTACATTTATAAAAATTGAAAAGTTTTGAAAATTCTTTTTCATTACATCACTAGAGGCATCAAAAACAATAAAAAATAACTTCAAATTTCTAACACAACGTAAATAATTCTTGAAGATTAAAATTAGTTTTTTTTTCTTAATGCACTGATAATTTAATC